ATCATGGAGGTATGAGCAACCTCCATGATCAAGCCAATGCGACGCTCAGCAATCCCATTTTGCTGAGGAGAGGCCGGAAGCGTGAATGACTGGTGGATGCCCTCGTCTCGACAGAACTCCGCAAGGAGGTCAGAAGAGAATTACCACCGTTGTCAGAGTGCAGACGCAGGACTGGCAAGTCTCGACTGAACCGCTTGCGCAGCTGGCGACGAGTAGCGCGGATCCAGGGGATCAAAACACCGCTGACGTCCGCCTTGCGCCGCAAGGGGAAGGCAGTGGTGTAACGTGTGTAGTCGTCAACAACCAGCAGGAAGTAGCGCTCCTGGTCCGTTCCACCGACGAGGGGCCGGGCCCCAAACGTCCATATGGAGAGTTTGTAGAGGAGCAGTGGTCGGAGGAAACTCGGAGGAGTGAGGAGCGGCGCGTTGCCGCCCCTCGACGCAGGGAAGGCAGGGCGGTGCAGGCGAGCACGGGAGGGAGGGCAGGGACCTGGGAAGGCCAGAGACAAGGAGACGGGAGTGCATGCTGCGGAGACGCGGCAGGGAGGGGTGACCGAGGAGGTGGTGCCAGAGGAGAGTCTGGTGGGAGAGTACCCGACATGAGCAAGACGCTGCAAGCTGACCAGACGCAGACACCTGACTCGACACAGCCACCTGTCCTGCCTTAGCCACCTGTGCAGACGTAGTGGTCCGTGTGTACAGACTAGACCCAGGCCATCGAGTGAACGTAGCAAGGTGACGGCAAGTCCGGGAGCACGTACAGATCGCCACACGCTGCCCTCCATGAATAAAGGTATCAACCCAGACATCCTGAATGGCAGCGTTGCTCACCAAGTTCGTCGAGAACATGGGGAGGTGGAGACCTGACAGAGAACCGGAGGGGACTACTGGACACGGGAGGACAATGGAGGCTCGTGCAACTACGGGGCCCCCAGTGGGGTTAGCCAGTGAGAGTGGTACCGGTGCAGCAAGTGGTGTGAGTGTGGTGCAGTCACGAAAGAAGAAACGTGACGCGCTTGAGTCAAGTGTGAAAGTGTGCAAGGCCTCAGCTGAGGAAGGACCTGTGGCGGGAGACGCACGAGCACCTAAAGCTGCAGCAGACTCACTAGCATCTGGAGCGGTAGCAGACTCACTAGCACCTAGTGCGGCAGCAGACTCACTAGAACCTAGTGCGGCAGCAGACTCACTAGCACTTAGTGCGGTAGCAGACTCACTAGCACCGAGTGCAGCAGCCTCGACAGAACCAGTGACACATCGCTGAGGAACCAACTCACTAAGCACCTGCGGGGAGAAGGTCTCCTGCTGACTCTGCTGCCGCCTCTGTGCAGTACGCAGAAAACCAAAGCTTCCACCACCTGGACGGGCTCGCTGAAGAACCCACTTGCGAAGCTGCTGAGAGTTGGGGTCGTCCGGGAGAGGCAGTGACCGCCGCTGTCCACCCCTAGCCGCTGCAACTGCCGTGATAGTGGCCATGATAGGTAGTGACGGTGAGTAGTAGGTCTAGCACCTCCAGCACTAGCAGCACCTCCAGCACTCCCAGTCGCACCTCCAGTACCTCCAGCACCAGCAGCACCTCCAGCACTCCCAGTCGCACCTCCAGCACCTCCAGCACCAGCAGCACTCCCAGCAGCACCTCCGCCAGCAGTAGCAGTAGCACGAGCAGCAGCAACAACAGTAGTAGCACCAGGGCGGCTCGGTGGGGCTGGTGATCGAGGTAGGGCGGCGCGGCTCGGGTTGGGCAGGGCGGCTCGGGCTGGGCGGCGCGGCTCGGCCGGGCTGGGCGGCGCGGCTGGGCAAGGCAGGGCGCGCCGCGGGCTGCAGAGCAGGGCGCGCAGTGGACAGGGCAGCAGGGCGCGCGCTGTGCAGGGCAGCAGGGCGCGACGAGCTGGGCAGCAGAGCGCGACGCGCGGGCTGCAGTAGGGCGCGACGCGCGGGCTGCAGCAGAGCGCGACGCGCAGGACAGCAGGGCGCGTCGCGCGGGCTGTAGCAGGGCGTGACGCGCAGAGCAGCAGGGCGCGACGCGCGGGCTGCAGCAGGGCACGACGCGTGGGGCAGTAGGGCGTGACGCGCAGGCTGCAGCAGGGCGCGACGTGCAGAACAGTGGGGCAGCAGGGCGCGAGGCGTTGGGCTGCAGGGCAGGGCAGTGCGGCTCGCGAGCTGCAGGGCAGGGCGGCGCGCGGGCCTAAGGGCATGGCAGCGCGATGCACGGGCTGCAGGGCAGGTGGGCACGGGCTGCAGGGCAGGGCGGCACGCGCTGGGCAGGGCAGCAGGGTGCGACTCGCAGGCTGCAGCAGAGCGCGGCGTGCGGGGGCAGGCAGTGCGAGTAGCTGCAGGGCAGCGCGACACTGTGCGAGCAGGGCCGGACAGCGCAAGGGCGCTTCGGGCAGGAACGAGCGGAACTATCGTTGGGCCCTAAAAACTTAATAGGTTTCCTGCTCTGAATACCATGTCAGAATCACTATGCAGGAATGAATGAACTATGAATGAGTTGGGTACAAGTACTAACCCTAAAGTGCTGTACCCCTTGTAGGCTAACCCACTATAGCCTAGAGAGAACACAAACATATAGTTTGAAATCTCACAGAAACTTCTCAACCTCAAATTGAATTGTATGCTGATCGGTTGCAGAGCGTTGGTCCAAGATCCCAAGCTGTTTCCCCTCCTTCAAAAACACAACCGCGGGCGCGCTCCCTGCCCTCCCTCCACCATACTTATAGGCCACTTGAGGGGAGAGCGCCGCGTCTAGGACGTAGTATTTGACCGCTTCTTCCCTCTTTCTGTTGCCTCGCACGATGAAGTCGATAGCATCAACGGTCATTTTGCATTTAGGGCATTGGTTCTTCAGAAAAGCCACCACGATTAAACCCGGACCTTGCAGAATGAGCTTCTTGAAGTTGTCGGCCTTCACCTTATCCATGTAGCCACTCGAGTATGAACTCATCTTATTTAGATGCTGTGTCGAAATGTGAAATGAAAGGAAGCGAGTGCAAAACCTCACTGAAGCACACAGGGCTCTCGAATTGGATTAACTTTGCACAGATCTGGAGGCGTGCGTTTATAGGAGGCAACTCGAGGCAACTCGTGAGAGGAAAGGCCTCCACATGCTGGCACAGCAAGCTCACCTTGCATATGGGCGCTCTGGCGGTCAAGAGCACTGTGGATAAGGGTACTGTACTAGGACGTATTGTGGTTGCGGATTGTTGTGGCTAAGATCATGCTGATGTGTCGAACTCCACCGCAACTTCGCCAACGTGGCATACGCGAGCTTTGCGAAGCCAACTTATTTCCGTCGGTGGGAGCTGTTCAGGCCCAACCTTTCGATGAACAAGGAGCTTACCTAAACAAACTTAGGAGCGCCGTGTATGCTATCGGCCGACTCTCAAAATGTTTCAGGGACGGCACAGAGATATATTTACGTCACGATATTCGCGGGCCACGCTGGGCATCATTTCCATTCCTGTACATCCGCAAGGCTCGTCCAGATCGACAAGGTGCCTAGGGTCTAGTCTAGATGCCTTCGCGATGTTGGAATGGTATCCTTGTACCCAGCCAGTTACGAACTAGAAATCTGAGAGAATTGCTCCAGAGCCTTTTTTCGTGATTCGGTCTTGCCCACGTGGCCCCGAATTGCTCGCGTGGCCATCCAATTCAGTGATAATTGCTCGAGTGGCCATGCCAGGGGATTTTCGAGGTGTTTTTTTTCCCCGGCACATTACCCTACAAGGGTTTGTATCCTCGAAATTCCTCGTTCGCACGAGTCTCATCCCGCGGTAGTGTTTCGTACTATTCCCCACCCGAAAATTTCGGGAAAAACCGACAAATATGCACGACCAACAGCAGATGCGCATTCATTTTCGGCCAAATGCGCGACCAATGAGCGCGCGATAAAAAATAATCGTAACCAATAAGCGCTCGAGCATATAAATCCGCAATCATAAACCTCAAATGACCAGCATCAAAACGCAACAGCCCTAACAACCGCGCATGATTCCTCAATAATATGCGCGATGCAATTGTTGGCATTGCGCGTCCAACCAGGTGCCATCATTAAGGATTGCAACCATATTTTACCGCGGAAATGAAACTCAATTTACTATATGATCTCGCCAATCATATGGTAAAAACACTCGTACAATACAAACATAAACTCTGGCCAATTAGGTTCAAATTAAAACGCTCAATCTGGTTTGGTACGCCTGTATCAACAGAAATGTGAGCCACGTTCGCGCCCGCCTCCCACCCGTAAATTTCGGGTGGGGAATAGTACGAAACACTACTGCGTGATGAGACTCATGCGAACGAGGAATTACGAGGATACAAACCCTTCTAGGATAATGTGCCGGGGAAAAAAAACACCTTGAAAATCCCCTGGCATGGCCACTCGAGCAATTATCACTGAATTGGATGGCCACACGAGCAATTCGGGGCCACGAGGGCAAGACAGAATCACGAAAAAAGGCTCTGGGGCAATTATCTCTAGAAATCTACTTGGGGCTGGGAAGGGATACATTGTGGAAAAGTGCTCATGTGTATCTCAAACAACAGTGTTCTTTAATTATCTAGTTGATAACAATTTACACACAAGGTGTGCTTGACAGCAAAATGCCAGTTGGTCTGAAAAAAACACTCTACAATATAATACAGAATCCCTCACATTCGTTGGAAGGAATGATGTTACAGGCGTTGGTTCCTGAAAATGCAATCCGAGTGGGATAGAAACAAGAACATACAGGAGGGTAAGAAACGAAGCTTAATAAGGTATTCATTACAAACCAGAGCACGAGCGCTTCAGAGATCAGGAAAAGAAGGTACCGGTCGCTTCAAAGAGCAACCAAAAGAGGAAGAATGGCAAAAAGGGGACTGATTGCGCATGCAAAGACGGGCTGATACGTGCATGCAGGTATGTGCATGCAAACCAAGGAGGCACCACAGCTGACCTGTCTAGATGCAGCCCAACTCCAGTTTTGACCTACCCCCGTTATGACCTGCCCCCATACTGACCTTCCCCAGTCTAGCTGTTGACGCATCGCTGTTGTCAGAAGGAACTCGGGTGAAAATACAGGCACACCTGATGGTGGGGGGTGGGAAGGGGTGAAAGGAATGGAGGTGGCATATGGGAAGAAAAGGCGGAATATTGGGCTTGGTACGTTGAAACACACACATGTTAGAACTTGGGAGCATGCTAACTTGAAAATACGAGGCAGTTTGAGAGGTTACGGCATGTGCTTACTCAACATTTGATGATTCAGCAGATGCATCCGCCATGAGCATCCAAGCATGGCACCAACCTTTCAGTGCATGTGCGTCCCACATGGATCGGTCAACTTGGCACGAAACAATCAGCGTGGGGACAGTGCAAGCAGTCAAAGATGGCGAAACCTGGAGGTGTGAGAAGAGGGGAGAGCAGCAGGCAAGGAAGGAGGAGAACAAGTCAGGGAGAAGCAACCAGTGTAGGACGTTGACTTGATGTCAAGAGCAGGAGAGAGAGCAGAGACTGGCGCACCACCCCTGGCAGAGGTGACCTTTTGAGCAGCACCAGCTGAACCAGCGCTCACCTCAGCAACAGCATTGGGAGTGAAATTTGTCACAGCTTACCTCAGCACCAGCATTGGGAGAGAAATTTGTCACAGCTTACCTCAGCACCAGCACCGGAAGCAAAACAACAAGAGCTCCCTACAACACCAGCATTGGGAGAGAAGTTTGTCACGGCTCACCTCAGCACCAGCAGCAGCCGCAACAGCAGCAAGTGAGCATGCATCAGGGGTGGTGTTGGGAGTCACAAACACTCTCTGCCCCTCCAACACCCCTCTCTCCCTCGCCCTCCCCACTGCCTCTCCCAGCTTGAAACCCATCTCCCTCTCCTTCACCCTGTCCCTCACTCCATACTCCCCCGCATCCACAAACCCCCGCGCCTTCGCACACGCATGCAGCCAATCAGCAGTGCACACGTGGCAGCCCCTGGAGATAGCAACAAGCAGATTGATCGAGCGGGTGATTCGGGGCGCCGAGACAAAGTGCGTGCAGATGGAAGCAGCAGGAGCGGCAGACGCAACCACAGGAGAGGAGGACGAGGAGGAGGAGAGGGCAGAGGCAGTGGTGATGGTGGCAGGGGAGGTATCACAGACAACATCTCCTCCTAATCTCTCCACTATTCTCGTCAGCTCAGCGATCGTGTCGCCGTCCAGGGATCGGCTGAACAGTACCCGCACTGGAGACAAACCATGCAACCCGGTTCGATGCGAGCCTGCTGAACCGCTGCTGCTCCGTCTTCTTCTCACCCTCCCTGGAAATCCGACTCCCTCCACCCATTCCTGCCCCTCTCCACCTCTCTGTTCTCCTCCGCTTTCTTCTCCAACTTCTTCTTTAGAGCCCCTCGCTTGCTTCTGCTCCACCCCATCTCCTTCTGTTGCCAACACTCTCTTGCCTCCCTGACGTTTACCACTCGTGCTCCTCCCTACCCTGGACGCATCATCCCCCCCGGTTCCTTCACTTTCCACCACTCCCTTCCCCTGCTCCACTGCTTTTCCCCTCGTCTTACTCTCTTTAAGATCCGCCTGTCCCTCCTCCTTCTCACTCCCTTCACTCTTATTATTCCCCGTCCGTGCCTTTGCCCCACTAAGCTCCTCCTGTCTCTGCACATTTTCCCTTGCCTTGCTCTCCGCGCTTGCCTTGCGTTCTGCCCTTGCCTTTCCCCTCTGCTGCCTCGCTCCACCTCCCTGTGCCCTCTCTGACCCCCTCTGCTCCACCTCCTTCTCCCTCACCTTCTCGCCTTTCTTCCTTGCCTGCTTGCCTCCAGCAGTCGAGCCTTTCTGCCTTTTCCTCGCCTTCGCCTCATCTTCCTCCTCACCCTCATCACTCTCCACGTCACTCGCAATATCCACCCACTTCTCACTCCCTTCTTCATTCCCTTTCTTGCTCCCTTCCTCACTTCCTTTCTCACTCCCTTTCTCACTCCCTTTATCACTCTCACTCGACTCAAGCAGCTCGTAGAACCCATCGTGCAGCCCGAGCGAATTCCTTCTCCTCTTCCTGCCACTCAAACTACCACCACCACCAGCAACTGCCACCTTCCCCTCTTGATTCTTCCCCTCCTTCCCCTCTTGATTCTTCCCCTCCTTCCCCTCTTGCTTCTTCCCCTCCTTCCCCTCTTGCTTCTTCCCCTCCTTCCCCTCTTGCTTCTTCCCCTCCTTCCCCTCTTGCTTCTTCCCCTCCTTCCCCTCTTGCTTCTTCCCCTCCTTACCCTCTTGATTCTTCCCCTCCTTACCCTCTTGATTCTTCCCCTCCTTTCCCTCTTGATTCTTCCCTTCCTTTCCCACTTGTTTCTTCCCCTCCTTCTCCTCCTCTAGTTTCTTCCCCTCCTGCCCTTCTTGCTTAATCCCCTCCTCCCCCTCCTGTTTCTTCCCCTCCTTCCCCTCGTGCTTCCTCCCTTCCTTCCCGTCTTGCTTCCCCTTTACTTTCTTCCCCCGGTTCCCCACCGCCCCCTCCCCTTCTCCATCCTCCTCCTCCCCCCTTCCGCGATCTCCCTTCTTCCGCCCTCCCTCTCCCCTCTCCCCGCCATTCCCCCCTGCTACAGTCCTGTCGTTCAGCCCACTGTCCCCCCTCTTACCCTCTCGCTTCACCTGGCAGGCCACCAAGCCTTGTGTCATTCGACCGCTGCCTGCTGCTCGCCTGCCTCCCCTGGTCCTGGTGGCAGAAGCGGTGGCGACTGTTGCTGTTGCAGCAGCTGTAGAGACGCCTGGTGCCGGAACAGCAGCAGAGGAAGGGGCGTCTACGCCTGTTGCTGGAGCAGAAGCAGCAGCAGAAGGGGCGTCCATTGGGGGAACAGCAGGAGCAGGAGAGGGGTCTAATTCTGGGGGAGCAGCAGTACCAGCAGCATCAAAAGTGGGAGGTATATCAGCAGCCGCTGCAGCAGGCGCAGTGGGAGGCGTGGTGGTGGCACCTGAAGAAGCAGGAACCGCAGGAGCAGTGGCAGCAGCAGCACCACCACCAGTATCTCCAACTCCCGTGATATCCCGCCTTTCATCTGCTTCCACCACGCCTTGGACCATTCTTCCCTTGCCTGATTCCAACCCAGTCTCCCTGCTTTGCTCCCCTTCCCCATCCACCTTCTTTCCACCCCCTTTCCCTTCTTCCCCAGTCGCACCTCCCCCTCCTGGCTCCCCTTCCTCCTCCAGGGCTCGTTCCAGTCCCACCAGCCCTGCCCCTTGCCCCACGTCTGTCATGCGCCCCACCACCCGCCTCTCCACTGCTGTTGCTGCTGCTGCTGCGGCTGTTGCTGCTGCTGCTGCTGCGGCTGTTGCTGCGGTTGCTTCTGCTGCGGCAGCCCCTCCCAATGCTGCTGATGCGGCTAACTTTGCTGCCTCTCCCGATTGTGCTTTTTCTTCTGTTTCAGCCGTTGTTGCTGCTGGTGCTGCTCCTGCCACTGGTACTGCGGATGCTGCTGTTGCTGATTCTGCTGCTGGTGCTGCTGGCGCTGACACTGCAGCTAACTTGGCTGCCTCGTCTGTCGATGCCACATCTCCAGTTTCACCTCGCTCTGCTGGTACTTCTTGCTTTGTAGGTGCCTCTGCTGCTTTTTCTTCTGCTGCTGCTGCTGCTTCTTCTTCTGGTGCTGCTGCTGCTGCTTCTGGTGCTGCTGCTGCTGCTGCGTCTGGTGCTGCTGCTGCTGCTGCTGGTGCTGCATCTGCTTTCACCACTTTCGTTGAATTCATGGCACTCAACTCACCTGCTTCACTCTTGCTTTCCTCCCACACTACCCCTCCTCTTCCTCCCTTCCCTCTTCCATTCCCTCTCCCCACCCCTCTCCCTTGCCCTCTACCCTTTCCTCTTCCCTTACCTCTCCCAGCTGCTTTCCTCTTCCCCCTCCCGCCCTCATCTGCTTCCTCAACCTCCCCCTCCCCCTCCGCCTTCCCCCCCTCCCTCTGCACGAGAATGAGGTCAAGGGCATCGAGTGCAATCTGAGTGTCTTCACCCACGGGGGAGAACGCACAAGCAACGCTGCCAGCAAGTCCGCCAGCAATATCGCCTGCAGTACTGCCACCTTTTGCACCCACTTGCTCCCTGGCTGCGGCTGCTGCTCTCGTGCTGCCTCCTGCTCCTTCCCCTGCCTCTCTTCCGGTTCCTGCCTCTGCTCCCGCCCTTGTCTCTGCTGCTGCCCCCACTTCCCCTACTGCTCCCCCTTCCCCTGCTGCTCCCCCTGCCTCTGCTGCTCGTTCCACCTCTGTAATTTCCCTTTCTCCTCCCTTTCCTTCACTCCCCACTCGCCTTCTCTTCACCTCCCTCCCTCCACCGTCCCTTCCTCCCATCCCTTCCCCACCCGTACTCACTCCATAACCTTCCACTCGTGTCACACCTGCATCCCTCTCCCTACCCACCTTCTCACCCTCCCCACTACCCTTGCCCCCCTCCCCACCATCTTTGCTCCCCTCCCCACCACCCTTGCCCTCCTCCTTACCACCCTTTTCCCCCTTCCCATCATCCTTTCCTTCATCCTCACCACCACGCCTCCCTCCCTCCCTCTCCTTCTCAACCCTCTCACCCCCCTCTTCACTCCCTCCCCTGCCCTCTCCCCCCTCCATCCACCGCTGGGACATCTCCAGGTCCGCAGTTAGCACCTCCCCCAGGCTCACCTGCACGCCCAGGCTCCCCCCCGCACCCATCTCCACCGCTTGCGAGTCCATCCAAACCGCCTGGGAATCAAAGGGCAGCCCGTCCGCGTCTTCTGATCCCTGCACCTGCCCGCCTGCTGCTTCCCCCAGCACCACGTTACCCACAGGCAGAACTGGTTCGATCGGCTGCATACTCCCCATACTAGCTGCGTCGCCCTGATGGGTATTCTTCCTACGAGCTGAGCCGCCCATATGGGTAGTCTCCATAGGAGCAGAGTCGCCCAGACTTGGGTGCAGCAGTCCTCCTTCCTGGCTATCCACAGGAGCTGACTCCCCCAACCTCGGATGTTGCAGCCCCGCCTCTTCGACTTCACAAGGAGCGGATTCCTCTTCGCGCACTCCCACTGCTTTCTCTTCCTTTCCAGCTCTCCCCTCGCCCTCCTCTTTCTCCCCTTCCTCTTCCCTCTGCTGCCCCCCGTTCCCCTTCTCCTCTCCTCCTACGCCCTCTCCTGCTCTCCAAGACTTTGACAACTGTCTTCTCTTCCCCTTCCCCTCCTCCTCCTCTTCCTCCTCCTCCTGCAGCTGACTCAGCTTCAGAAAGTACTCTCTATCCAGCCCGTGGCTTGGGCTTGCTCCTGCACCTTTCCCTGCCCCTCTCCCTCTCTTCCCCCCTCGCCCTGCTACGCTTGCCCCACGCCCACCAGTCACTGACCTGCCCTTCTTGCCGCCTGTGCCCTCCTGCTCCAACCCCTCCACCCCCTCCGCCTCCTCGTCTTCCACCTCTTTCTCCTCTTCTATACCTTCCTCACTACCTGCCCTTCTCGCCCCTTTGTCTCTCCCCCTCGCCTTCGGCTCTCCTCTCCCTTTTCCTCGCCCTCTCCCCCTACCTCTTTCCCCTCCACGCGTCCTCTTCCCCTTCCCTTTCCGAACCTCTTCCTCCTCTTCCTCTAACTCCTCCCCATCTCCCCCTCCACTCTTCACTCCCTTCCGCCCTCCACCAGCCTTCCCCACTTCCGCCCCCATCTCCGCCTCCCCCACACCGCCCTTCCCCCAACACCCCTCCTCTTCCGCGTCCTCACTATAAGGCAACGCGTACGGATCCACCCTATCTTCCCTCAGCACAGCCTTCAACGGCTGCTGCACGCTAGGAGCCACCACTTGCCGTTCAGCCACCATCCCTCCTGCCTTTCCCACAGGCTTGAGCCAGTTCGCCCAGCTCGGTGCCTCCCTTCCCTTCCCCCCTGCCCCGCTTCCCTTGTTGGCACCCTCTCCCACGCCCCCAGCCACTCCCCCCACGCCCCCGCCTGCTCCCCCCAGCAGCAGGCTCTGTAGAAGCACGTCGCTGCTGTGCTGGCTGTCGGAGCCCAGCAGGCGAGTGACTATACCGAGGGCGTCCACCTGCGTATCCTCTCCTGGATCCAACGAATCCGCACACAAAGCAGCTGCTGCTGCTGCTGCTGCTGGTGATGTGTCTCTTGCTCCTGCTGCTGCTTTTCCTGCTGATGCTGGTGATGATTTCTCTGCTGTTCCTGCTGATGCGGCTGCTGCTGCTGCTGCTGCTGCTGCTTTTGTGTCCACTGCTGCTGCAGCTGGCGCTGGCGAGTCTGTCGCTGGGGCAGGTGCTGCGAGTGCACCTGCTGCTGCTTCCTCCTCCCCGCCCTCCACAACCGCCTTCCCCATCCCAGGCACAACCCTATCACTCCTCCCCTTGCCCCTTCCGCGTCCCCCGCCTCTCCTTCCGCCTCTCCCTCGCCCTCTTCCCTTCCCTCCTCCCCTACCTCTGCCTTTGACGCTCACAGGTGATTCTTCCTCCTCCTCTTCCTGCCCCTCCTCTCCTTGCTTCCCACCCTTTTCTCGGTTCACCCCCTTATCTGTCTCCTCCTCTCCTCCCCTCTGCTCTACCCCTTCCACTTCCGTCTCCTCTTTCCGCTCCCCCTCATCTTGCTTCTTCCCTGCTTCTCGTCTCTCCTCATCTCCCCTCTCCGCTTCTCGCCTCTCTCCCTCTCGCCTCTCTCCCTCTTGCCTCTCCTCCCCTCGCCCCTGCTTTACTCTTTCACCCAGCCCGCCTTCCGTCTGTCCTCCACCCCTCTCTAACCCTTTCCCTGTCACCTTCTCTGGTCCCCCCCTAGCAACAACCAAACTCGAATCAATTTCCTTTCCCTTTTCCTTTTCATTCCCACATTTACTAGGGCTCCAACTCCCACCATAACCATACACCTGCGTCTCCTCATCCTCCCCCACAATCTGAGTATCTGCCAGCCATCCATCCCCCGCCCAGTCCATCTCCTCTGTCTCGCCCCCCACTTCCCCACCCTCCCCTCCGCCACACCCCTTCCACAGCTCCCCCCACTCCTCCGCCACCGCCATCTCTCCCCCACTCCCCTCCACCTTCCCCGCGCTGTCTTCCGCCTCCACCCTTCCGCCAATCATTTCCCCGCGAGCATTTTCCCCCGGCTCCTGCGCGTCGTGATTCCCCCTTATCCGTTCGACGCTCAGACCTTCCGTCACACCAGCGAAAACCTTCGCCAGTACGCCGCCCATTTCGCCCTCTTCGACAGCCCTCGCCCTCCCACTCCTGCTGTTTCTTACCCCAGAGACAGAGTTATCGGCAATCCCAAGGGACTGATCGCAACTTGCCTCTGCACTACTAAGCCGCGCACCAGACCTCGCAGCCAGGCTCGGACTACACTCAGGAGGCAGGCTCAAACTAGGCTTGGGACCCTCGTTCGAACTAAGTTTGCCGTTGTCCCCGTTAACAGGAAGCGACACGTCCGGTGACGGAGTGTGCTGTCGCGTTGTATTAGCGTGAGGCTCTAGCGAGCCATTCGCGTTGACCTCTAGCGTATCAATTTTGTGCGAAGGCTTGCGACGGCTTCGCGTAGCAGCAACCATCGTTACCACCTAGGGTGACGATCGGTGATCTAACACGACATAAGTTCACGAATTTCTGCAAGAGTATACCGTGCAAAACCGAACAGAGTACTTTAGAAGATTCGCAAAAATAACTAAATGCAAAGGACACTAAGAAAACCTTCAAGTGTGGGAAATGGTTATACGAAATCAAACAACCACCTGAAGAAAGACGAAGCTCCGAGATTTGTTCTAAAATAGAGCAGCCACTGAACCTTGAACGTGTGCAAGAAGGATGAAAGCTGGAGCCTGAATTTCAAGGGTAGGCTTTCCCGCCAAATCCCGCCTGAACTTCATGAATCATCATCCTCGTATGGGTGACGATGAAATCGAGGTCGCAGTTTGGGTCAGGCCCGAACCTGCAATGCTGGCTGGGGGACGTGAAGCTGACGCTCCCGCCTGCTACCTTCCATACCCAGATGTCCTTTTACCCGATACAAGCAACGAACAGCATGGAACTAGCGCGAACTGAACCAAAAAGTGTAGGCACCAAAAGCTCAGTGTTTTTCTACCTTCCCAAAATAATATTGTTCTTCCCCTCAACCCCAAAGGTTCAAAGCAGCAAAACCAGTCGCGATAAATATAGGTCTACGCATCGTCTCTCACTCAATAATCGCCGCATCAAGTACTCGGTTTCTCGCTTCCTCGCTTTCTACTCCTCGCGTGCTCGTTTCCGTTCTTTTCCTCTTCCTTCGTCTTTCCAGACGTCAATCTTAAATGGCGAGGTCGAAACATGCGCCGGAGAAGAGGGTGAAGTCAGCGACCCGGAACCCGCTAGGCGTGGCGAAGTCCTCCGTGAAAATGAAACAAGGCGGCCGCCGCGGCGCCAGTTGCCGCCGCGGCGCTAGTCGCGAAAGGCCAATCGTGTATTAGCGCGAAAACGAAGCCGCTTTTAACGAAGAAACAGGAGATGATCGCAAAGAAGAAGCAGAAGAAATTCGCAGCAAAGACAGCAGCGGAAGAAGCGACGAAAGCCAATCAGAGCACGCGAGTCGTCCACGTGGGGCTGACCCCGAAGAGCGAGTTGCAGGGGAAAGCGGCGGGCTCGTTAGCGGGGGCACTACAGGGGAAGACAGTGGTGGGGTTTAAGAAGGAGAAGGTTTTGGTGCTGTCGTCGCGAGGCATCGTGTACAGGTCGGTCCTGGTGCTGAATTAGGGTTTGGGTCATTGAAGGGGTCAGGTTTGCACAGGGCTTCTGCGGGGTACAGGGTTTTCAGGCTTAGTTCATTGGACGGCTCACGTACTACACATCCTCCGTCACACTGCGCAGGGTGGATGTGGCTTGAGTGCCGTCTCACGCAATCTTGATGCACCCCTCTCCTCTCTCCTTCACTCCCAGTAGGCACTGCCATCTAATGGAGGACATAACAGCGCTGCTGCCGCACAGCAAGAAGGAGCCAAAGGTGGACGTGGCTCGCGGTCGCCAGCTCAACGAGGCGCTCTCTGAGCTCATGGACTTACGAGGCTGCTCGCTTTGCCTCTTCTTCGAGGTCAGTTAAGCTCTGCTGTCTGCTCGCCTTCCCACTCTGCTCCACTCCTCCCCACTCCTCTCTGAGCTCATGGACCTCAGAGGCTGCTCGCTCTGCCTCTTCTTTGAGGTCAGTTGCCCTGCTGTCCCCTCGCGTCCCCTCTCCTCCCCACTCACCTCCATTCCACTCCGCTCCACTCCACTCCATCTCCCCTCCCATCCCCTCCTGTCCCTTCTCGTGCCCTTGCCTCTCCATACCTCCCCGCCTCTTCCCTTCCCCCAACCCACTATCTCCCCATTCTCCCTGCCCCACCATGCCCCCTGTGTTCGCGCTCTCTGTCCCTGTCTCTCTCTTCCCGTCACACTCTCTGTGCCATCCCGACTTTGGCCCAGTCCCTGCCGCCGTGCTCTCTCTCACGTCCCCCCTTCCCCCTTTTCTTCTCTCCCTTTTTCCCTCTCCCCCCTCCCTTTGTTCTCTCTCTCCCCCCGCCCGCCTCCCCCCAGATGCGAAAGCAGAGGGACCTCTATCTCTGGCTCAGCAAGGGGCCCTCAGGACCTTCTGTGAAGTTTCTCATCAGTGCGGGTATGGCTCGTCTTGTGATGACTCATATGTATGGCTCGTCTTGTGATGACTCATATGTATGGCTCGTCTTGTGATGACTCATATGTATGGCTCGTCTCACATGCCCTTACCCATTGCAGTCACGTTTGGGCACAGATTAACCACCCATGCCTGCATCACCATGACTCGATAGAGGATTGGGAGTAACTTCTGTTTCGCCTTTGAGTTCTTAATGCAAGCACAGCTGGGCACGCACCCCTATCACGCCCACATTCTCCTTGTCCGTTTCTGCCTGTCCTTTTCACCCTCCCCTCAAATTTCCCCTTTTCCGTTCATCGCACCATCTTCCCTCCCAGTACACACAATGGAGGAGCTCAAGCTCACAGGCAAACAACTCAAGGGCTGTCCTTCCACGCCACTCCACCCCTCCATACCCCTCTTCACACCCCTCCCCGTCACACCACATCACCAACCCCTCAGTGCACACAATGGAGGAACTCAAGCTCACAGGCAACCACCTCAAGGGCTGTCCTTCCACGCCACTCCACCCCTCCATACCCCTCTTCACACCCCTCCCCGTCACACCACATCACCAACCCCCCAGTGCACACAATGGAGGAACTCAAGCTCACAGGCAACCACCTCAAGGGCTCGCGACCGTTCCTCACCTTCTCGCCCTCGTTCGACCGCCTGCCCTTCCTCTCTGTTCTCAAGGAGCTCTTTATCCAGGCACGCTCACACATCCTTTTTTCATTGCACTTAACCAAGCATGCTAACACGCCCCTTTTCCCACTGCACTCACCTTCTCCCCCTCGTTTGGTCGCCTGCCCTTCCTCTCCGTTCTCAAGGAGCTATTCATCCAGGCACGCTCACACGCTCTCCTTTCCCATTGCACCCACATGTCTACTGGCTCTTTTCTATTGCACCCACTCTATTGTGTCACCTCTTCAAGTCTGCTTTTGCATCACGGTCCATTGCCTTGGTGCCCACCCACTAACTTATTCTCCCCCCACCTCTTCCCGTGAGCGCATGCAGACGTTTGCAACCCCCAAAGGCCACCGCAAGTCGAAGCCTTTTTATGACCATGTGCTCACATTCACCTACCTGGATGGCAGGGCTCCAGATTGGTTTTGGGCCACCCTTAGTAATCAGGGTTCTAGGTATAGTCAACCCTGATGCGTAGGGTAACTTTTCTGTTTGCCTGACAAATGAAGGGTAAAAAAAATGTTAGTCTGTTTGGCCAGGGTGTTTTTAAAAAAACTCTATATATAATGCAAAAATAGTGCAGTTTAGCAGTTAGTAGCTCAGTTAATTCGATTGCGAATTATATCCAAAGGTCATAAGTTCGAGTCTCACTGTTGGGTGGAGTATTTTGCAGGGGCCCGAATAGTCGTTCGTCTCGCTACGGAGCTTTCGGTATCATTCTATCTGGGATTGTACAGTGTTACAGTCAGGGAAATATGTTCCTTACCCTGTTTTTCAAAGGGTACAAAAAAACTTACACTTTCTGGCCTAGGGTAAAAAATCCAGTACCCTGCCTGTGAAAGGGTAACTGAAAAAAATCGTCCGCCAGTCAGTGCAAAAAGGGTATTTTACCCTGATAACGAGAGGCCTGCTGGATGGCCGCATCTGGTTCAGAAACTACCAAGTTCAGATTTCGAGGCACCGCAAAAGTCATCTCACGTGCTCTTCCTTTTGCCTCGAGAAACTCCCTGTCGTGATGAGTATGAGCACCTCAGTGGAAAACACTGACACGCCATTGTTGATCCACCTCCCCCTCACATGTGTGATGTGTGTCAGATATGCATTCCTGGAGCCGAGGGGGCATCCAGAATCTATGACATCACCGTGGAGAAGATGTCGCTAGTGGAGGTGGGTGATACACACACTGGTGTGGTGTGGTGCGGTGTGGTGTTGGATGGAGGTGTGCACTGCACACACATGCCTCTGGTGTGGAGTCAACCCCACAGTGGAGCGGAGGGGGCATTCAATATTGATGACATCACCATGGAGAAGATGTCATTGGTGGAGGTGGGCGCAGTGACATCTGGGTGTGGTGCGGTGCGGTGTGGTGTGGTGTGGTGTGGTGTGGTGTGGCACGGTGCCATCCCTATGGTGCCAGGGTCGCGAGTTTAAGCACTGTTATTATTGCTGTTGTCAGAACAGTATTCGAATAGTTGTTTGTGAGGATTGCGTAGCGTGCGTGGGTCAATTGCGCGTTTGCAAGCCGGGGTTCCTCCCATGTACTCTGAATGGAATTTGATACCTTGTCTAGAATCCGGTCCGGTAGTGATAGTCTATTGCATGAGGAGCTTTCACCTCAAGGGAGGCTCTTTCTCCCTGCCTTCGTTTTTCCATCTTCCCTGTTTCATGCAGGTGGGACCTCGCTTCTGTCTAAACCCCATTCGGGTGTTCTCTGGCACGTTTGGAGGGCCAACTCTTAATGAGAATCCAAGTTACATCTCGCCAAATAAGGTGTGCATAAATCTGGATGACGCAACAGGAGCATTATTGTTTGCATGTTGATCATACTCGATCCGCCTATGTTTAGCGACACACATTCATCACATTCATTGGGCTGTCTCCGCTATTGCCCTTTCAGATTCGTATCAATGAGAAGAAGAAGCATGGGGAGGAGTATCGGGAGAAGGTGCGCAAGAGGCACTCAAGGGAGACTTACAAGGTGGTGAATGCTCTTCCTGTGGAGGATTTGGCTTCTGTCTGGGATGGGAAGGAGGACGGGGAGGAGGATGGGGACGAGGATGGGGAGGAGTGACTACCGGATTTGAAGCTGTGACAATTGATATTGAAACAATAGTACCGTAGGTTTTGTTTGTCTATAATGTTTGGAGCATGCTGAATGTTGTTCTGAAGTGAGATAGTTAGCTATTTGCAAATGTACACCTGCCACTTGGAGGAAGCCGCTAGGGGCACAGAAAATTGGGCGATATTGCATACCGTCATCTCTGCTGGAGGTGCTCATTTTGCTTTAGCCCACCCTGCCATAGTAGTGGTTGCTGGTGTCAGAATACTGAACGAGAATGATTGAATTGAGAAGAAAGTTGGTACAAGTACTAACCCTAATTGGGTTGTACGCTTGATGGGCTACCCTACTACAGCCTACACAATATAAACATTATAACAGTTTGACACACCCCCATAGGCAAAGTGGGGGAGAACAGGAGGTCACAAGACCAGTCAAGAAAAAGCAAAGCAAGCTCAGGGTGGATCACAAAGTTACCACACACTCTGAGCACAAGGAAATGGCCACAGGGCCAGTTCACATGCAGAATTATATAAACGAGAACAAACAGTACAGTGATCATAACCTAGCAGGGGTAAGCATGCAGGTATATGTATATCGATCAAAGTACAAGCAAAGTTACGTAGTGAGCAAGTGAGGCGAAGTAGGCATAAGGCCTAAAACATTACAGAAACGCTGATGATCACCAGGCTGAAGTGCCTTGGTGAATATATCAGCAGTGTTGGCCCGAGTGGCCACGTAAGCAAGACGAAGCTGACCACGCTGCTGCAACTCTCGAGCAACGAAGTAACGCAGAGCGATGTGCTTCGTCCTGTGCTCTAGTCTGTCCTCCTGACACAAGGCAATCATGGCCTTGTTGTCTACGTACAGAACTGGAGAAGAACGAGACCGCTCTCCCAAGTCGGTCAGCAAGTAGGTGAGCCAGCGTAACTCCTGTACAGCCATGGCCCCTGAGTAGATCTCAGCCTCAAACCTGGAACTGAGAAAAGAAGATGAGCGAATAGACCACCAAGAAACAGAGCCGGAGCCAAGGCTGAAAGTGTAACCCTGTGACGACCGCTGCGTAGCCAAGTCGTCAACCCAAGAAGCGTCTGCGTGTCCAGTGAGGACAACTGGGCCCCGTCCTCCAAGCACGAGCCCCATGCCCGATGTACTGCACAAGTAGCGCAACACCCCCTTAGCGGCCTCCCAGTGCTCTGGTCGGTGTCTCCTGAGCACAACGTAGTGTGCCAGGATGCTAAGAGGGTAGGCAAGGTCACGACGAGTGCAGGTCATGAGGTACATGAGGCAGCCCACAAGCTCTGGATACGGGCCACTCGGCTCTACGGGTTCGTCCGAAGGTGGAGCTGAGAGCGAGTGACCGGTAGGCAGAGGAGTGGACTGTAGCGAGGAGTACCGGAAACCGAAGCGCTGAAGGACCTGGTGCACCATGTGTGACTGAGTCAGGGTGATGGTGCGCCGTGCTCTGTCCCGGGTGATCTGCAAGCCAAGATAGCTGCGCAGCTCACCCAGGTCAGTGCAGGTGTGTCTCTTCTGCAGCTCCGACTTAACAAGGGCCAGTGCCTCAGTGTCAGCAGTGGCAAAGACCAAGTCGTGGACGTACACGAGGACGTAGAACGGCGGCAGCGAAGTGTTAGTGCGCAGAAACAGCGACGGGTCAGCAATCAAAGGAGCAAACCCAAGAGCCGCAAGCGTCGTCCTCAGTGTGTTGGCCACTCGCGAGGCGCCTGGCGGAGACCGTAGACTGGCCGACGGAGGCTCCACTGGGTACCTGCAGGAAACGACCCAGTGAAGCCAGGTGGGCGGCGCAGCCAAATCTCCTCGTGCAGGCTGCCCTGCAAGAAAGCTGTGCTGAAGTCAAGAGAGTGAAGCTCGTAGTCACGCTGAACGGCGACGTGCAGCAACACCCGAAGACTGGTAATCTTCGGGGTAGGGGAGAAGGTATGGAAGAAGTCAACTCCTTGTCGCTGATTAAAGCCTCGTGCAACGTAACGAGCCTTGAAGAGAGACGGAGAACCCGGCGGCCGCTTCACCCTGAAAATCCACATGCCATCGACTATGTTCGCCCCAGACGGGGGAACCGCGTCGACGTAGGTGCCTGTGGACTTCAAGGATGTCATCTCTGCGTCCATGGCTGTCTGCCACTGAGAGGAGTAGGGACCCGTAATTGCCTCGGCGTAAGAGCGCTTGGGGTCGGTATGTCCGGTGCATCCAGGCCTCCCTCAGGTGCAAGCAGCATGGCCACGAGATGAGTTACAGCAGCTACAAGACACTCAGATTCCTCCTGCGTGTCCTCAAGGACGTCCGTGCCAAGAGCACACTCACCCCCGACGGACGGAGGGCAGTCAGACTCAGACTCAGCAACAAGACTAGCAGCGTAGACGAGACGCCAGGCGGCAGCAAAGTCAACAAGCTCAACAACTAGGGCAGACGCAGCAATGGACTCAAACGAAGGGTCAGTGACAATAGTGGCTAGAAGACGTGTGACAGTAGGACTGGCAGCACGAACTAAGTCAGAGTCAGGGTCCGGACCATCAGCAAGAGAGGACGCAGGAGGAGAGGGCCGGGGAACTCACATTGGAACAGAGGAAGGACGAAGTGCCATAATGTGAGTGCCGAGGAGAGGAGGAGGACACGGACAAGGAACACGATGACCAGTGCGAACAGCGCGAACAGGCAAGGCAGGACGAGATGCAGGCTCACGACGCTCTATAAGAGTGTCTGTCTGCTCAGCGTAAGGAGAAGGAGCAGGTAGTGGGGAGTCTGGCTGTAATTGTGGCTGCGACTGGTGAGTCGGTGGACATAGTAAGTGAGGAGTAAGGCCAGTAGAAGACGGGAGACTAAGAACCTGGCGAAGGACCGAGCCAGGTGGCGGCAGAGACGACGGCGGCGGCGGAACAAAAAATGGTCGCCGCTTCACAGTGCTTCGACCACCAGTACCGCCAGCTCCAGCACCCCCAGCGCC